GGCTGCGCTGTGGGGGGGGACAAGCCTGGCCGGTCACAGACAGCATCCTCAGGTTTACTTAAAGGGTCATGGGACTTAGTAAGTAGGGTTATAATTAAGGTAACTATACTTATATTTACTTATAACCCCCAATTAAGGGACTTAAAACCTTACTTACTAAGTCCCATGATCCTCCAAGTAAGCCTCCCGGCAGGACGCCAAGAAGCGCGGCCACGGCGGTCGCTCCGCAGGAGCTAAGCTGCGGCGTCACAACGCCCGGGATCTCAGTTTCTGGAAGTTGCCGTCCGGGTTCATGCAACTGTTGAGAAGGGGGGTTTTATTCAAAGTTTCAGGCTTCCGTTTTGAGGAATTTGCCGGTGTTGCTGCTTGCAAACAAGGTTCCAGGGTTGTTTGGGAAGGCTTTGGGAGTTCTAAGAGTTCGGGCTTCCAGCTTATCATATCTTTCGTTCTGGTTTGTTGCCTTGGGTTCTAGCCCAGTTCGTAGAGTTTTGGAAGTATGCAGCACCCTCTTAGCAAGAACCACCCCAAAAAAATACTGTAGCCCTTATGTAGTTCTGAAATGCAGGCAAAGCGCTTCTTCGAGAAGATCAACAGCAAGCGCCAGCCCCAGAAGAGGCTGAACTGAGGGTCTCAGCCGGACGTTCCCTCGGAGCCCTTGAGGGATGTCATGGGTTTAGGGTTTTGGGTTTCCCAGCTGATGATCGGAGCCTCGGTTCACAAAAAGGGTTTAGGGTGGAAACGAATATAAAAAGCTGCGCCACGCGTGCAGTCCCTGCTTCCGCACTCTTGATCTGCATCACTAGAGTATAACATCCTTGTTCTTCAGCCAAAAGCGGCTCACCGATCTTGACCCGTAGCATGTCCGCAACATGACGGCGATTCATGATCACTTCATCACAACGACGGCAATAGAACTGCTCCAGACATATCACACCGTGATGTAGGTGTCCTGGCAGGGCAAGTAAAAACTGAAGCCTGCGATGGGTCAGGTTCCAACCTACACAGACACAAGCCCAACTGCAGACGGTTGAGACGATGCATGGACTCCTGAAAGCTTAGCAAGACAAGGCCCCATCACAATGCCCAAAGCCCCAAACCATCACGCAGAGCCACGAATTTTAGACCAAACCCCATCGCCCATGCTCCAAAACCTGAAACCCCGACGACTCGGCCCAGGATTCAATACTTGAAACTCGCAGTCCCAAAGCCCTAAACTCCTAAACCACTTAAACGCTAAACCCTGAACCCATCTAGCTAGGTTCGATGAGTGGGGTGACTGTCTCAGAGCCGTCTGCGAGACTGGCTTGCCAGAGCTTTCAGTTTCAGTTTAAGTCCAAGCGGAGATACTGGATGCTGTTGTGTCTCTCTGCGGTGTACCGATAAAAAGAAGGTGAAGTTTCGGTTATTTGTATGAGGGCACTACTGAACAACAAAAGCTGCTCGGTTCCGGGTTGAGTGTTTGGCGGTGTCCTGCTGCTACCCGGGCTTGAGGACTCTTGAAGGGTGTCTAGAACTGCCCAAAATCCTTGCAAGATCCTGATAGAACCCTGCAGCCCCGATCCCTAAAATCCTGGACTCAACAAAAGGAGGGAGTTCACTTAGGGATTTTCTGGGATATGGTGTCGGTGGCGATTTCGGGCTTGTGATTCACGGAGGAGACGGGAGTCTGGCAGTGCATCTGGAAAGCACGCGGACTCAGCACACAGACATACAGCCCGTGAGCCAAATAATTCACAGTTCCCACACCGTATTTAAGCTTCAAATGCTAAATCCTGAGCCCCCGTGCCAGCTTCCACCAGTGTCCAGTAAGTGTCTAGGAGTCCAAAAGGCTTTATGGGTGAAAGGGGGCTTAACGTAGGGGCCTATAAATAATTACGAATACTATTTTGGGGGGGTTCCTTATTATAACTATAGCATAATGATTCAGAATGGGCATTCTAATTATTATAAGGCCCCCACACTAGCCATGAACCCAGAAAGGCCTCGAGCTTCGCCGGCTTTGGAGAGAAGATCCCGAGACCGAGGCATCGGAAGACTCGGACTCATCGGGGTCCCATCTTGGGTGGACGTCGGAGAAGCAAAGCCTACCTGTAGTCTCCATTGTAGTTCCTTTTTTTGGTTTAACCAAATTATATATTAAGGATTTTATAAGGTATCCCCAAAAAGGAACTACAATGGAGACTATCGGTCCTGTTTCATAGAGATGCCTGGACTATCCTGGACTAGTTGCCCAGGTTATTTCCTGGGTTTCCCGATACATGCTTCGACTTATTCTATAAGGGTGGTGCTGAAGCGATCAGCCACCCAGTTTCGATGTTGCGGCCGCTTCGGAGCGAAGGCAAGCACGAAGCATCGTGGAGCATCTCGAGTTTCTGGGTATTATCAGCCACCAGCCAACAGCAGCAGCAGCGGTAGCAGCATCAATTCAAGCTGCATATTTACCCCACAGCAGAAACTTCAACACCTGCTTCGTAGAGGTCAGGAGGACAGCGAGCATTTCCACAATACAGCATTTGTGATCACTGGCCAGGGCGCTGTGAGGGGATGGCCGCCCACTGCCGATCGGCCCTCAGTGAGTGCTTACGGAACCCCTATTCACCCTAAACCCTGCACCCGAGACAAAAGAACTTGAGAGCGGAAGCGCGCAAGTCTCCAAAACTGCGGCACCGCCTATGCAGTGGCAGTTTTTTCGGGCCGAGGCTTCAAAACCCTACTAACGACGAGCATCTCGCCGTTTCGAAGCATGCTAGGTGTTCTTTGCCGGCGATCTTCGATTGCGGCGGATGCTCTTGGCAGGGGCCTCATTCCTTCCGTAGGGAGGTTTGGGATTTTGGGTTTTCGAACTTAGAAATTTAGTGCTCCGAGAACTTTGGGGTTTTTGACCCGATCTTGGGTTTGGGCTGTTTGTCATCACTTTCCTATCGGTATATGTCTGCACTGGCGGACCCTAGACCTTTCCAACCATTCCAAGACGTCTGTGATGCGGTTTGAACAATGCTCACCCAATACGTCCCACAACTTTGGCTTTGGTAGTGCTGCAGTACCTAGTCTCCATTTTAGTTCCTTTTTTGGGTTTAACCAAATATATATATATATATATATATGAAGGATTTTATAAGGTATCCCCAAAAAGGAACTACAATGGAGACTATAAGTCCTATAGGTAACCCTAAGTCGATGCATTGCGCGAAGGACTGCAAGAATCCGAAATGTCCGCTGCCGAGCGTCCTGCCGGACTTGTTTGCCACCTTCGGTGTGTTGAGGAGAACACCTCCCGCTGAACTCCAAGCAGCCCTATTGAGGCCAAGTTTGCACTTTGTTGTTGAGCAAGGTTCTATTCTTGTTCGATGATGTCAGCTAGGGTAATTCATGATGCGGCAAGCTTTTCAATTCGACGTAGCCACTAAGTCGCCCCAGGTCCTCCAAGCAGCTCCAGGGTGCGATCGTGTGTGTGCGTGAGAGAGAAAGAGAGAGAGAGAGAGAGAGAGAGAGCGAGAGAGAGAGACTCTGTGCGTGTACGTGTGCGTTCGTGCGCGTGTTTTAGAATTATCACAATCCATGTGCTCATAGCCGGATTTGTTGTTTGAGATTTCCTGGCTTTTCCTTTGCACTCTCCGAGCCTGTGCCTTGTTGAAGCCTGTAGCGATGGTGGGAAGGCTCCCGTCAAATTCCTCAAATTTAGCCTATTCAACAGTCTCTATAATTCCGAAACCTTCGAAACGGAATCTCGGTGGCAGGCATTGTTTTTCCGAAGGCACGCCGAAGACCCTGACAGTCAGACAGCTACCCTACGACTACGAGGCACTTGTGCATAAGTGCTTCCCTCTTGCTTAAAGGTCGCAAAACCCCATGAGCCCAACAGTCAGTCGACAGCTGTACCACTCCTGTCGGGTCATGAAGTAGCGACATGGCAGCGCCCCAGCTGAGCCGACAGAAAAAAAGGGGCCGCACGACAAAAAGTAAAAACAACAGTTCTCACATGCATCAAGATCCATACAAATCAGCTAAAGCCCTAGCCTAGCTGTTCATGCCTCTATATCAGGCCGGGGTGATGAGCCAGGAAGCCTTCAGGCGCCATGTGGCTTTCGAAGTGTGCCCCAAGTGCTCCCGACAAGGAGTCTGGCTGCTTACAACGATGCGTCGAGGTCCAACGGCCTGCCCAGCGCCAGCCGCAGCCGCAGCCGGTACAAGAGAACTTCAATCATCGTGGAAGTGATCATCCTGCTAGCAGGCAGAGCCCATCCGAGGCACAAGGCGCGAGAGCCACGTCGGAGCTGTTACGAGCACCTTCAGAGGAGTCGGAGTTTGGAGTTCCACGGTCTGCCATGTTTTTTGTGAAAAGGGGTGGCGTGCGGGTTGTGGCATGTAGTTTTTCTGACCAGCAGTGGGGACATTGAGATGATGTCGTCGATGCTTGTAGCTGGATTCATGCTTGTATCTGCATGCCTTCTAAACGAGACACTACTCACTAGTGTGTAACTTGTAGGTATGAGCTCAATTCACAGGGTTCTTGCCTAGTAGTACAGATAAGTACATCGACAAAGACGAGACAGACAGAGAGCCCCTTGGGGTGTGGGGGTCCTTGACCGGACGGTGATACCCAACGAGAAAAAGATAGAGAGGCAGAGAGATAGATAGATCGAGTGATAGATAGGTAAATCGATAGATAGATAGACAGCCAGGTGAACAGGTAGGTAGGTCAATAGGTCGTCAGATCGTTAATCAAGAGATCGCCCTATAGACAGACGGACAGCCGATAAGATCGATGAGATAAAGCGATAGAGAGACAGAGAGATGCAGGGGAGATGGAGAGACGGAGGAAAGATAGAAGAGATCGAGATAGAGGAAGCGATGGAGATAGAGATGTGGCTGGCGGGTCACGTGTGCAGATGCACCATCGTGAGTCAATACATCCTCTGATTCTCAAACCCCGGCTGGTTTTACAAACTGACTAATTTCAAGTCAAGCCACTACACTTCAAGAATGTTTTTGCCTATCAGGCAAAGAAGTGACGGACGGACTGCCGTCGGTTTCGGCATCTATGAAGACGGAGCAAAGCGTGACGCCATCAGCGGAGCCGGATCAGACGTTTAACCTTCTGCCATCTCTTTCCAGCAAAGAGAGTGAGGCAGAAGTGCTCAATGACATAGAGGCTGCCATAGAGGTGCGATCTGGAGACACCTGGAAAGTCTTATACCCCGGCAGGAGCTTAACAGTCCGCGGTGACGAGTCGGTCAAAGTCCGATTGCGGGAGGTCCCGCACATTTCTGGAACCTGCTCTCTGTCGGGTGCTGCGCTTCACGCAACACGCAGCTTCGGTGAGAAGTTCGGCTCCGACGTAAAGCAGTGGATGCAAAAGGAGAGGAGGGAAGCCCTTCTTGAATCAAGCCAGCGACGCAGGCGACAAGAGCAATTAGAGGCAGTGATGGCGCAGATGCAAACTTCGGGTGGCCGCTCAAGCCTGCGTGGGCGGCTCGCAATGTACATCGCGATTGCCATTCCCATTTTTGTCGCCCTTATGCTCGTTTGTGCAGTTCTGCAACCGGCAGACTCTAGACAGGGTGTACTTATCAGCGCAGTAGCTGTAATCTTACTTCTCGGCATCAACACGGGCAATGCCCGTCTTTGGCTCATTGCCGAGGGGGCTTCAGCTCCTATCCACGCTGTCTTCAAGTACTCCCACTCTTGCCAACAGCCACGCCTTCGAGCCTTAGTGGCTGAGTAGGTAACCTTTAACCTTTTGGGGCTTATATGATCCTGCCATAACCGAAAAGGTGAACCTTTTTGGGCTGGGGTACTCAGCCCCTAAGGAGCCTGCATCTTGGTGTCATGGAGCATCGCAGCCCTGAGCTTGCTGGTCACAACCATCAACCACCTGACCCTGGGACTATGGCAAGGTGCACTTGTCATTTGGCCGGGGGTTTTCTGCTGCATCATCGGCATGTACATGTGCTATGACGGCTCCGTCAAACAGCCCGCAATTTCGGAACTTCCGCCTGGGAAGTCGAAGCGGAAGCTCGGGGGGAGGACCATCATCTTCGAGGGAAGAGTCCTTCCTGGACAGGCCTGCATTTGTTCCTGGCCTGGGAGATTCTGGGTGGCACTTGGGGATGGCTTTTCATTTTCCCTGGTTTTAAGCAGGTTTTTTGGCAAAGATGCCTGCCCTGAAGCTACCACCCAGGATATGAGTCTGCGTTTGAAAAGCTGGTAGCTAACTCAGACCTTGGTGCTGCCACGGTGTTCTTGCCAGAGTGTTCAGCATCTTATGGCAAGCACAGTACAATTCCACGAAGTGAGCAGTTGGATGGCGAGTGTTGGTGCATCCCACTCTATGGTACCAAGAAGTCCTGGGGATGCAAATGGTGGAGTGCTTGGACCGCCAATGTTGAGAAAGCCACTCGCCAGGGAGCCGAGCTGCAGGTGGTCTTTTGGAGGAACCGCTGTGGCCAAGGCAAGGTACGAAGCTTCGCGACTGTCGGTGCGGACAGCCTCCGCCGCGATGCTTTGGAGGAAGCTCGAGCCTGATTTCAGAAAGACTATTGTGTTCAAGGGTTGCGGTTGAAACGAACTTCAACCACCTAGCAACAGATCAGAAGAAAGAAAGTGTTCAGTGACTCAGTGACACCACAGTCATCCACCAGGAAAAGAAGCTCAGCTACTTCAGATCCCGGGCTTTCCAGGAGGCCCTGGCTGCAGGCTTGGATGGTCTCGCGAAGGATTTGGGGGAAGATGGCACTTCACAGTACAGCCGCGAAGCGGATCGCCTGTTTCTGGCCTCCCTGTCCGGAGAGGATCGAAGCTTCCTGCAAGCTTCCGAGGGCCTTGGGATCTCCCAGAAAGCAGAAGTTGCTTGGCTGGAGAGAAAGGGCTACCAGTACACAGAGCGCGAGGTCTGACTGCTCCCATGGGGCGGTATATCGGGTTATAGGCTCTCCGTGGGGTCAAAGACGGGTGGCAGCCTCATGGTGACGGCTTCTTCACTGTTGCGCCATGCAGCGAGGAATGTGGCCAGACTAAGTTTCACCGGGTCGCAAGGCAAAGGCCTCGATAAAACCCAGCAGCAGGTGCAGAGTGTCTGACTCTCATTCGAACGTACAACATACCCATAGGCCCCATAGTAGTTCCTTTTTGGGATTACCTTATAGGATTCTAAATATGAACCCCCCAAAAGGAACTACTATGCGGCCTATGGGTACATGTCTTGTCCCCTGCTGCCGGCTGCCTGCTGCTCCCCAGCCCGTGACTCTTCAGCTGTTGAAACAGAACAGCATCGTACGGGTACGGGAGAGCACCGCCTGCTTCATCGCAGGCAGCAGCTGCAGAAACGAAAAGGGCGCGCCCGAGGCTTCCAACTAGGATTGGGGACGTGGTCAAGTATGCAGGGCTTTACTTAAGGTTTCTGTAAGGTCTACCACGGTTCCATAATACAGAGATCGGGAGGACGGTGCCAAGAAGGATGGCACTGGCTCATGTGATTTGAATTAGGCCTGGATGCTGTTTTCGTCGTGCTGAGAGGCTTGGTGGCTTAGCTGAGAACTTTCCGAGTTGTACGGAGAGAATTCCCAGAAAGTTGAGCTCTAGGAGGAATCTTCGTTAAGCCCTCATGCTGGTGATAAAGTGCACGGCTTAGGTCAACACAAAGGTGGTGTTTATGATTGAGCTTCTGTTTGAATGCTTTGATGTCTGGTCTTCAGGGAGTCTGTGGGGCTTCCAAAGCGCCGAAGCCAGAAGCCGCACGCCCCAAACCTTCCATGTCCCAAGAAACTTTCTACGGTATTCATTAGTGCAAGAGACAAACAAAAATCCACACGTCATCGTGCTCTAGTGGGCTGGACTGCTGGACGGAAGGTGATCTTCGTGGAAGCCTTTCTTGAGCTTGCTTGAGTTGGGGTCTATCGTAGAGGGGTTTAGTTCCAAACAGGTGCCTGGGCAAGCACAATTGCTATTGAATTTGTGTCAACGAAGCTCGGGCAATGCACGATGCATGCACCCGGCTCGATAAACAAGGGAAGATGCTGACACTTTGCAGAGGCTGAGTGGTGCGATACTGTAGCAAGGATCCCAGCTGCAGCAGACTTGAACGGCCAAATCCAAAGGCAGACTCCCAAACTCTATAACGTCCATACGAAAGTGTAGTTTAGGGTGCATGTCTAGATGATTGTTGAAAGTTGAAACCCCAGATTGCAACTTGGAGTTCTCCGAGGGGGTCCAATGTGCCTCTGCAGATAGTACAACAGAGTTGGGGGTTTCGGGCTGTGACTATTTGAAGTATACCAAGTACTAGAAGCCTGCGTGTCATTACACATTATCATGGGATCCAATTGCCAGCCCGTCGCCTTCCATGTCTCCGAGCTTCCACAAAACACAGAAAAGCCATGAAGCCCGCCTAAACTGAACCCTTGTAGTAGAATTATAGCTCCCCAGGAACCCTACTATCGGTCGTAAGCCCTTTTTTCATGCCAGGACACGAAGCTATGGATCAAAGTCCCCGCTCCCTTCTCCGAAGCGGATCCTTCTCTCGAGGCGGCTTACGGCTTACGACTTTCTGTGAGCTTCCATGATGGCTCAGGGATGTTTAGGGTTTAGGTTTAGGGGTTTAGGGTGTAAGGTTATCGAAGTCTATAAAGGTTCCATGCGGATGTAAAAGGACTTAGGCTTCAATTAGAAGGCACGGCCTCCAATCTCCTTCAGTTCAAGTACTTCAGATTCCTGTGCGGGGGCATCTTCAGACTTATATAGGGCCTTCGACTGTAAACCTGGAAGGCTAGCCCCTGTAGCCTCGAGGGGTTAGGGCTGATTGCTTGAGGTCTAGGGTTTGGACTTTCCATGTGAGCACGACGGACAGCTGAATGTCTACTCGTACATGACGAAGACATCAACCCTTGTTCAGAGTTCAGGGTTTATTTAACTAAAGGTACGTAGTATATATGGGGGGCTAGAAACGGGATACCAGCTATACCTATCCAGACCTCTCTATAACTCCCAGGATGCTAAGCCAGTGATATCCGATAACGCCTTTCGAAACCCTAAAGAACCCTCATCCAAAGAAAAACCCTAAACCCTTAGGGTTTAGGGCCCTACATCCCTGAACGCTAAACCCTTCTGTCAGGCGCTCCAGAAGACGGCCGCGTTCCTTTGCTCCGGGGGGTGGCCACGGTGGACCCCCACGCTGCGCCGGAGATGGGCGAAAAAAAGGGAGAAGCCAGAAGATCAAGACAATCAAGAAGAATAGCATCAAGTTGCTTCTTCTGTGTATCGATTGTTGTTAGGATTATTGCTGTAGTATGAGAAATTATGTGCCTTGTTTGGGTGTTGGTGTTCGGGAAGGTTGTAGGGGAGGGGAAAGTCTCAGAAAACTGAGTTACCTATCTGGGGGTCCTTGCGATTATTTGCAGTTCTATATCAGAGTCCCCGGTTTTCTGAACCACCTCCACGCCCCCCCCCCCCCCC